TCAAAACAAAGATCTGCTTGTAATAGAAATTTGGTCTACTAAGTAAATCCATCAAAACCACACACCATAACCAAGTTTCCTAGCCACAAGTCTGCAAACAGACAAAAATTCATACACAAGCACACAATCCACACATATTCACACACACACACATAATCATATCCTACTGGCACCCTAATCTTAAATACATTACAATATATTTGCTCAAAAGAAAGGGGTTGCAGTTCTTTACAAATCTCAAGCAAACCCCTAGCTTTGCTCTTTTCCCCGTCCATCACTGGATCCTTCGCCTGGACCTAGAATATTGAAAAGAAAGGGGTGAGACAACCACAGTCTCAGTAACAGTGAAGTCTATATTGATTATTACAAAGTAAGCCATAATTAAATAAATGAATAATAAATTCAACATAGTATATAATTTAGCCATTTAAAATGCATAAATGCATGACCTAGGCCAGTATGGCCTTTCATAACCAACAGAATGCCCCCTGGCACTCTTTAACTCACAGGTAAACCTTATACCTACTTGTACCTCCACAGGCACAAAACATAATCTAAGGCATGATCTAATCCACCGAACCGCCTATGCCCCTTCGACGTGAATCCTGAGCAGTCAAAGCTAACTCCCTCCCAGAGCCAGCCCGACTTACTCTCCATGTGAGGGCTACCTTGGCCTAGGCACTCAACCTCACACTTCATATGTCGGATTCCCTCCCCCACTGAGAGGTGTCGAACACTCAATACACTAACCACTTTAGTGCACTGAGCCCACAATACGTAAGACAACAATGAGTACTGACAGTGTGCCATAGAATATCAAAAATTCACACCTTCTCATTGGTGAACTCCCACCGAGATCATGCCTTTTACTCTTGTCTACCTTTCCGGAGTATTGACCATTCAACACTCTAAAGTAGTATAATATTTATAAATCTCATTTCCATAAAAACATTGTTATTAAACAATTAGAAAACATATTTGCACTATAATCAAAGTAGTACCCCATAACCCCTTATAAAGCACATTTAATCTTTTAAAACATGTAATGCATGATAACTAGTAATATTTATTCAAAAATAGCTAAAACAAAGTAATAAGAAATATAAATTCCCCTGTTACCTCAACCCTTTGGTACTAAAAGGGTTCCCCTTGTACAAAATAGGGCTCGGCTTGTTCCTTACTTCTCAATAAGTTCCACCAACAATTTTCTACAACATATAAGTGATTCACATCACTTATCATGACAAATAGTATTAATGAAGACTATAACTTATACCACACAACTTAGGTCAATGAGTCATAATCCACCCTAATGGTCCATATATTAAACCAACCATTCACATAGTATCACTTAACCACCAAAACCATTTATTAGCCATCACTAGGCTAATTTTCAATTTATATAATTTTTTTAATCAATTAAAAACCTTTACTTAGTGCCACCAACTTTCACCATTAGCCCTTATAATGAAAACCAAACCTTAATTTAAATCTTATTGGGCTCAAATAGTAAAATTATAACTAAATCAATAGGCTTAAACCATTGAGGAGCAAAAACCCAATTTCTCAAGGTTTATTTTGTGCCCAAAACACCTCTTTTCATCCAATTATTCACTCAAAACATTAGATCACTATATAGAAACTCAAAACATGCTCCCTAGAATCCAAAGAAACAAAAGCTTACAAGAATAAAGCCTTTGGGATCAAAATCCAAAAATTTCCTCTTCCAAAAATTGAAGAAAATCAAGAGAAAGAGAAGAGGATTGAAGTAGGGAGTTTACCTATCGTGTAGCCGAGCTCGCAACGGTCGCAAAGACTCCTAGATCCAAGCCTAACTCCCTCCCTTTCTCTTCTCTTCTTCCTCTCTCTCTCTCTCCCGTTTGTGCGTTTGCTTCCTTTCTCATTTTCTCTGCGTTTTTGCATCAGTTTGCTCCTTAAAATGCTGGTCAAAAACTTTAGGGAAAATTACAAGAAAGGGCCCAACATTTTTTATTATTGCACAAAAGCCCGGGTCAACTTTGGTAATTTTTCCCATAGTTAAAAATCAAATAAAACCAAACTTTTGCTTAGTAAAATTCGAACTCTGGGCCTCTATTAAATTATTCTAAATTTTAATTTAATTATAGATATTTTATTTTATTTTTGTTTATTTTTTTAAATAAATTTGAGTCTTAAAATTTTTAGGATGTTACAATGTTGGTTTATGAGTACATGCCTAACAAAAGTTTGGACTCCTTTCTCTTTGGTAAGTAGCCATGTGCTATGCAAGAAGTCATTATTTCAATGGCACAATCTATTGAAACTTGTCTTTAGATTGCATGCAAGTTTAATACGTTGTTATAATCATGCACTCTAAGACTTCTCTTATGGTTGTAATTTTGTAGATGCATCCAAGAGGGGTTTGTTAAATTGGAATGTGAGAGTGAAGCTTATTGAAGGGATTTTACAAGGACTTCTTTATCTTCATCAGCATTCGAGATTAAAAATCATACATAGAGATTTGCAAGTCAGCAATATATTACTCGATGCAGACATGAATCCTAAAATTTTGGACTTCGGAATGGCAGAATTTTCCAAAGGAATGAACTCACTGCCAATACTAACAGGATTGTTGGGACACAGTAAGTTTAAAAAATATTTAAAAATACATTGTTTGCTTGTGTCTAATGCTAGTTTCTATTTCTAACAAGATGGCTCTTATTCTTTTGTCAGTGGGTACATGTCTCCTGAGTATGCGATGGATGGAATATTCTCTATAAAATAAGATATTTTCAGTCTAGGAGTCATGATCCTTGAAATTTTAAGTGGCAAGAGGAATAACAGCTTCTATGATGTTAATAAACCTTTGAACATAGTCAAATATGTGAGTGCTTTTATTTACAATATTCTTAATTGAGCATATAGTGACTAAGATATAGTTATTTGCTTTAGTAATAAACCTATACATATAAGGACAACATGAGTTACGTTAAACAGTACCATTGCTGGCCTTGGATTTGTGGCAGAATGGGGTTGGCATGGACCTAATGGATCCAACACTAACGGATTCATGTTCCAATCAACAATTTCTTAGATTTATTCAGATAGGCCTTTTGTGCGTGGAAGAATGTCCAACAGATAGACCAACTACTCCAGAAGTTATTTCTATGATCACAAATGAAAGCACCCTTTTGCCTGTAGTGAAGAAACCTGCATTTACAAATTTAAACCATGTTACCGATGCAAATGGTCAAAGGAATAATGACTTGGAATACCGTTCAATCAACAGTATGTCTATGTCTACCATGGAGGGAAGATAGAGGTATGTGCTTTTAAATATTTGGATATAACAGGGTTGTTATATAGTCTTAACAAGTTGAGAAATTTAAGGGGGAAGAAAAGTAAATGATTGTTTTTTTTTATTGGCAAAATTAAATAAGTAATTCTTTTTTTAACTAATCACTTTACATTATTATTATATTGTCTTAGCATAAGCTTGTCCTCATCAGAGTATATGCTATGAAATATGCATATCATCTAATATATATTTTTGAAATTTTCAGGAGCAAGAGGAACCAGCATTAATGAATTTGGAAGCTGCCACCACTATGAAAATGTCGAAGGAATAGCTTCGAATTCAAGACGCTACTGGAAATAATGTATAGTGCGTCAATTTTTTTAACGTTAACTGCGAGATGAGAGTATGATCAATCCAGAAATCCTTTGTGTATGGAAGATTTAACACTAACTATAATGTTGTTATCTAATATATACGTACCTATCCACCGACCCACACACTGGATACTTATCCACGCACAATTACCGATTGAAGCATAGATCACTCAACCAGGGGTACATTCAACGACTCTAAATGAATTCATATTTATATAATTTATCATATAATAATAATAATATTAAAATAGGCAATAAATTTAACCGTAATTATTTTTTATGATTATTTAATATTTTTAAATGATATAACTAATAGATTAAATCATAAAATATTAATTTGATGATAGTTATAAATAGGATATTTAAGTCTTACAGCTCAGAACTACCGTACTACCCACTATATAGTACTAATTTTCAACCTATATAATTAACTCTTAGTTCAAAACAAGTTATCTACACAATGTCAAAAAAAAATTATTATTAAATTTTAAAATAAAAGAGAAAATCATATAAAGGTCCCATATATAGATTTAAATTTTTAACAAGTCCAATGAAATGTGCAAATGACTTCAAAGTTTCATGGACTTTAATTGCAATTAACTTTTGGCCTACATTTATCAAAAAGCCCTTGTTTACCAAAAAGTAATTGGAATTAAAAAATAATTATATGTGTGTTGAATTCTTCCATTTTCTTCCTCCACGATCTCAATTTCTTTCTTCAAAGAATGGATACGGTGGTACCCGTGCAGGGGAAGGGGGAGGTGAAGGTGGCGGTGGGGTTGATTCTATATGGGGAGATTATTTTGTTAATTTTTTTAAAAGAGTCTATTTCGGTAAATGTACAAAGAAAATAATTACAATTAAAATTTATAGGACTTTAGTATCATTTATATATTTCATATGGGATTTTTTGAGAATTAGAATCCATATATGGGACCTTTTATGTGATTTTCCCAAAATAAAAAAAGACACGTCAACCCTGCATGTTAAAAGTTGAACTAGTTAGTTTTGGCCTTTGGGTGTCATCTGGAATAGCGTGTTTGGCAAGGGTCAACTCAAAGAGCTGGCTTTGGATTTGTTCAATGTGCTGAATTATCGTGCAGATTCAAAGAAGAGAAACTATTTATTATTTTGGTTAAATGGATCCTCTAACCCTCACCATCATTGCCACTGCATTTTGTATCCTACGATTACAGGCTGAAGATGACATTCTCACTTTTTAATTAATATTTGGACAAATTCATCACTGAGCTGACTTGCATTTTTAGACTTTTTTTTTTAATCACAACATTAATATTTAGAATCCTGTCCTGATTGCTATCGATTCATAGAAACATAAATGCTTAGCCACGAAAACTCATTGATGTATCTTCACTTTCTCATCCTAGTGATTGTTTCTCCCCTTTTCTTCAGCTGCATCGGCGTGTTTGCTGAAACCAACACTCTGAATCAATCCGACTCACTCAACTTCACCAGCCTCTTGGTTTCCAACAACAAGAATTTCACCTTAGGATTCGTCAAACCTGTTACCTATAGAAACAAAACTTACTTAGCAATTTGGAATTCCAAGTACAGGTCACCTTCATCTCCAGTTTGGATAGCCAACAGAGACAACCCAATCACTAATGGTTCTGCAACTTTGTTCATAGACAACACCGGAAAGTTTGTGATCAATCAAACTCACGGGGACCCAATTCAACTGTGCCCTGGCCAAACCACCACAAGCAACAACACAAAGGCTGTCTTGCTGGACAATGGGAATCTCGTGCTGACAGAAGTGAATTCCGATGGATCTGTCGGAAGAATCTTGTGGCAGAGCTTTGATTGTCCCACGGACACTCTGTTGCCTGGCATGAAACTAGGTATGAATCATAGAACAGGAAGGAACTGGTCTCTCACCTCATGGCTGGCTTCTAATGATCCATCTTCCGGAGCTTTTACACTCGAATGGGACCCTCATGGCTTAGAGTTGATCCTTCGACGTCGAGGGGTTGTTTTCTGGACCAGTGGGGCCTTGAGAAACATCAGCGACGGCGATCTTGATGCTGGAATGACCTTCGGAAACATAGGCCGAACCTACTATCATATACAATCTTATAAGATGATGTATGCCAGAACTTCAGATGAAGAGTTCTTCAACTATTCGTTGAAACAAGACCCCAAGGATCCTGTGGTTCATGAAAGCATAGAATGGAGCATAGATTACGATGGTACTTTCTGGTTTGAGAATGTGGGTGTCCCGTTAAGGTATTATTGTTATGGGTACAAGACAGATGACGATGAAGGATGTGCAGAATGGGAACAACCTCAGTGTAGGAGTTACAATACAACGTTTCAGTTGTTGTCTGGGTCCTTTGTGAACAAGAGTGATGGAAAATTCATTGATGGTCATCAGGAAAGCGTTGGTCCTGCTGATTGTAGAGTTAGTTGCTGGAATGAGTGCGATTGTGCGGCATATCAGAAAATGGGCACGTTGCGTTGCGTCAAGTATGACCAAGAAGCAGAGTTTCGACCTGATCCATCTGGGGATTCGCCACAGTTTTATGTTATCCAACAACCACATAATAGTAAGTTTGCGAACTGACGGAACTAGATCCTCTCTCTTCTGCATGATTCCTTTCAATCAACCTTATATCTCTCTTGCAACATGTATTGTAGCCATTTGATCTATCTAATGGTTTTGCAAAATATGCTAAACAGGACAATATGATTAAATAGTTTTACAGATTATATTTATACATGATCAAGCTTTAACAAGGCAAGGCAATAAAAGATTCAAATGAAGAATATTTGAGAGGGAAAACTCTAAATATTATACAAGTGAAAAAATGTTGAGGTACCAAAATTAATCAGTTGAGGAAGATAATGTGACTTTTAATTTTGAGACATATTAATGTTTTGAAAATAAAATGTAGGTATTTATAATAAAAGATAAAAGAAAGGTTAGAATATTTTATTCATGCAAAATATGATATTTTTCCGTAGATTTTAATAAAAAATACTTCTAATATAATTTATTTCAGTTTAGACCTTTTTTCTAAATTGTTTCTACTTTCTACTTTAAAAACTTTCTCATTATGACAAACCACCTTTCATCAACAGATACAGAAGCACAAAGGAACAGTAAGAAATGGATTGCAATTTCAGTTCCTATCGCAATATTGTTGTTGTTAGCGTTTGTCACAGTTATCATCTTTTATTGGAGATGGAAAACAAAAGGTAACATGCAATATTATCTATATCCCCTACCACATCACACATTATGCTCATGTAAAATTTGAAATTGAAATGACTGATCAATTTCCTTGATACAAAACAAACAACACAGGAAGAAAGGAGGACCCACTACATGAATTGATGACAGCAACTGATAATTCACACAATCTTGATGAGCTAGGATATGATAATGCTTTTGCTCAGCGTTTGAAAATGTTCAGCTTTATGTCTATTGTTGAAGCCACAGATAACTTTTCTCCACAAAATAAGCTTGGACAAGGTGGTTTTGGCCCTGTGTACAAGGTGGGGGCAGCATTTCTTTTTAGTTGGTACTATTCTATTGTTTTATCACAGTCACTAACTACTGATGGAATAATGGTCAGGGAAAATTACCTGAGGGGTTAAAAATTGCAGTGAAAAGGCTATCAAAAAGTTCAGGACAAGGATTAGTGGAGTTTAAGAATGAGTTAATACTCATAGCAAAGCTACAACACATGAATCTAGTTCGTTTGCTTGGATGCTGCATGCAACCTGAGGAGATGATGTTGATTTACGAATACATGCCTAACCGAAGCTTGGACTGCTTTCTCTTTGGTTAGTAATCATGCGCAAGGACCTAATCAAAATCTAATCCTTAATTAGCAGCATTAGTTATTTAATTATATATGTTACCACCCTTTCAAATTTGGCAATGCAAAAAAGTCATCATTTCAATAGCACAATCTGTTCAATAACACAACCTATACATGTCGTGAAACTTGTCTGAGATTGCTGGTTTTGCTCTATAAATTTGCACACTAAAACTTTTCTATGGATGTGATATTGAAGATGCATCGAAGAGGAATGTGTTAAATTGGCAAATGAGAGTGATGATCATTGAAGGGATTTCACAAGGACTACTTTACCTTCACCAGCATTCAAGATTAAAGATCATACATAGAGACCTTAAGGCTAGTAACATATTACTTGATGCGGATATGAATCCTAAAATTTCTGACTTTGGAATGGCAAGAATTTTCAAGCAGAATGAACTTATTGCCAACACAAACAAGATTGTTGGGACATAGTAAGTTTAAAAAATTATTTAAAAATAATGATTGTTTTGCGTTTTAAGCAAAATGGTAATGTTTCCATTTCTACCAAGATGACTCTTCTTATTTGTTTGTTTACCAGTGGATACATGTCTCCTGAATATGCAATGGATGGATTATTCTCTATAAAATCAGATATTTTTAGTCTTGGCGTCATGATCCTTGAAATTTTAAGTGGCAAGAGGAATAACAGCTTTTATGATGTTAATAAGCATATGAACCTAGTACAATATGTAAGTGCTTTTATTTACATTTTTCTTAAGTATGCTATAGTAACTAAGATATTATTTACTTTAGTATAAACCTACAAAAGAACTATATATAAGTTGAAAATTATTATTGCAGGCTTGGGATTTGTGGCAAAATGGAGTTGGCCTGGACCTAATGGATCCAATGTTAACTGATTCATGTTCCAGGCAACAATTTCTTAGATTTATTCAAATAGGTCTTTTATGCGTAGAAGAATCTCCAGCAGATAGACCAACTACTCGAGAAGTTATTTCTATGATCACAAATGAAAATGCTATTTTGCCGTTAGTGAAGAAACCTGCATTTACAAATTTAAATGATGTTGCCGATACAAATGGTCAAAGCAATGACTTGGAATACCATTCCATCAACAATGTGTCAATGTCTACCATGAATGGAAGATAGAGGTATGTGCTCTTAAATACTTGGATATAACAGGTTGTTATAGGTCTTAATAAGTTGAAAAAATTATGGAGGAAAAACTACAAGATTGAATTTTTTTTTTTGTTATTATTGGGATATAAGTAATGGTTTTTTATTTTTTTTTGCACAAATGACTTTTCATTATTGTTGTTTGCTTGTCCTCGTAGTACAACAAAAGGCATATTCTCGATCTAATATCTTAATTTTTGAAATTTTCAGGGGCAAATAGGAACAACTACTTGCAGATTGTCGAAGAAATCTCATAACTTCAACGCCTGCAACCAACCTGTAAAATTGCTTGCGTTACATTTTAGACACAGCTAAATGCTTGAAATTACACTTAAATGCCTCGTATTTTAAATTTTTAATGGTCTCTATATATTTGCTTCACTGGATTTAAATTGTCTGTAACTGTTTCAGAGGATCCATTATTAAATGTTCCATGTTCCCCAACAAAATCTGTCTGTACAGGAGTGCCGTGAAATTTGATATTTTTAAGGTCATTCTTTACTGTAAAAACTCTTGAGAGATCCTTAAATAATATTTTTCTCAATTTCTTAAGGAAGGAGATGGAGCTGCAACTTGCAATGGTCTCATTCGAGGCACACGTAGAAATTGGATAAAAGATTTTTCGGATGCCATACAAACGCTAGAGCCAAGTTACTGAGTTTTCTTGAAAGCCTTGATACTTAATGAAAAGAAAAAAATTCATCAAAATTAATGTCTAATATGACTCGGTTGAAGCTCTCATTGGCCTAATAAAAAACAAGTACTCTCAACACCACTCTCTTATTAATTCTATCAAAAATTAGACAATAATAAATAGATACTTCTCTATGTGGGAAAAAACTATCCATACACTTTAAAAAATAGTTATCTATACATATGGAAAAAAAATATATTCTTAAATTTTCAAAATAAAAAAGTACGCATTCTGTGTGTGTGTGTGTGTGTGTGTTTGGCTAGCCATCTATAGATAAAAGTTGAACAAATTAGTTTCGCGTGGCATTTGAGAATAGCCCGTTAGTAAGAGTCTGAGAGATGTTGACTTTAGATTGGTTTAATGTGATGAAGAAGTGTGCAGATTCAAATATAAGAAGCTATTCAAGTATTTTGGTCAAATGCGTCCCTGCAAACGGCTGAAGATGACATTTTCACTTTATCATATGCGGAGAGATTCTACGGTAAGTTATGGACTACACATTCATCAGCGGGCTAGTTTAAATATTTGGATTTGTTTTTTTACCATAATGTTTAGAGTTAAGGAAAGGAAATTACACAAGTTGATTCATGATTAGTAGAAAGGTTGGGTGTATCCTATGAACGCACGCTTTCAAAGAAATAAAGTTCGACCAAAGTTACGCTGTCTAATCATAGGAACATAAATGGTTTACCAGGAAAACTCATTCATGTATCTTCACTTTCCCATCCTACTGATAGTTTCTCCCCAGTTTTTCAGCTGCATCAGCGTGTTTGCAAAAAGCAACGCTCTGACTCAATCGAAATCAATCAACTCCACTGGTCGTATGGTTTCCAGCAACAAGAACCCTACCTTAGGATTCATCAAAACTTTCGACGCCAACAACCATACATACTTAGCCATTTGGAATTCCAAGTATGAGTCACCCTCATCTCCAGTTTGGATAGCCAACAGAGACACTCTAATCACTCACGGTTTTGCAATTCTCTTCATCGATAGGACCGGAAAGTTTGTGATCAATCACACTCATGGGGACCCAATTCAACTGTACCCTGGCGAAACCACCAAAAATAACAGCACCAACACAAAGGACAATGGGTATCTTGTGCTGACAGTAAGTGAATTCCGATGGATCTGTCGGCAGCACCTTGTGGGAAAGCTTTGATTGTCCCACTGACACTCTGTTGCCTGGCATGAAACTAGGCGTGAATCACAGAAGTGGAAAGAATTGGTCTCTCACTTCATTGCTTTCTTCGTGCGGATGACCCTCTTCAGGAGGTTTTACTACCCTAATGGTCAAGAGCTGGTTGTTTCGACGAAGAGGGATAAGTTTTTGGAGTAGTGGGATGTTGAAAAATATTAGTGATGATGATCAAGTTGACGATCGAGATCGTGCTAGAAGGTGAAATGACCTTCGAAAACATAAACCGATATCTTATACAGTATTATCAGAAATGTCTACCAATGCCTCGGATGAAAAGGCTTCAGTTATTCGTGCAAACACGACCCTACGGATCCAAGGGTTCATGAAAGCATAAAATGGAGAATAGATTACAAAGCAGACGAAAAAGATGTGCAGAATGGGGCAACCAAGGTGTAGGAGTTACAAAAGAAGATTGGTCCGGACGATTGTAAAGTTAGTTGCTGGAATGATTGCGATTGTCAAGGATATCTGAAACTGGAAGTCATATATAACAAGAAATTTGAATTACCAGACCCATCCGGGATTTCTCAACAATATTATGTCATCCAACGACTGCAAAATAATTAATTTGTGAATTGATGGAACTAGATTCTCTCTATATGAATCCTCGAATTTATGATGTCTGTTTTCCTCTCTACTGTCCAAACACTCAGCCTTTCATTTAAGAAATCAGATAAAAATTTTCTGACCATTAACTGAAATGAAATTTGAGATCTTAGACATTAGCGACAAGGAGGGATAATGGACACCCAATCCATGAATCCTCTCAATCATCACAATAATATTATGTCATCCATTCTATGTAGACTCAACTAAAAAACGCTTTTAATATAGAGATAACAAAATTTTTAGTCCCTTAAATTCATGTTATTTATCAATTGGTTCTTTATATTTAATTTTTACCTATTTGATCTCTTATATTTTCTTAAATTATCATATTATTTATTTATATTTTAAAACACAAATTAACTCTCGATCTGATATGCAAAATGTATTGATGACTTGGCATGTATGAGAAGTTAAATAAAAATAAATTAACTTTAAATCAATTTAATTTTTATCAATATAGTCTATTACGCTACTTTGTGTTCTTATATTTTTTAAAATTTTAAAGTCTTTTTTTCTTACATAAATAATTACACTTCTTTATTTCATTAATCCACATGGCTACATTAATATTTTTATTATTCATATTACCAAATTTTAATAGTATTACATTAATTAATAAAGAATTAAATTGATAAAAATTAAACTTGAGAAATTAAATTAGTAATTAAGGCAAACTTAAGAAATTAAAAGTTTAAGGAAAATGGCAGTAAGGGTCCCTAAAGAAGAAGAAAAAGTAATGAGGGTTTTGAATAACTGAATGCTATACACAAGTCAATTGATAAATTTTTAATTGTACATACATAAACATTCTATTGTTTAAAGTTGTCACTACTTTTTTCTTCTTCTAGGCCCCTCAGTGGGCCCCTCAATGTCATTCTCCCAAAAGTTTATCTGGTATTTAACGTGTTTAAATATCTATTACAAAATATAATTAAATGCATTTAATTGATTGATTTCATTTTTAACCTTTTTTAAAAACTTGTTTCTACTTTAAAAACTTTCTCATCATTATGACACACCGACCTTCATCCTTCAACGTGTGCAATTTTAACTGTTGCAGAGAGGGAAAACAAGAAAATGATTGCAATTTCAGTTCCGATCGCAATATTGTTATTAGTGTCTTCCATTGTTATCAACTTATTATGGTTTATTGGGGACCGAAGCAACAGGTAATGTTCTTCATATGTTAAATTTGAAATTAAGTGAAAATACTAACAATTTTTCTTGATATGTAAACAAACAATACAGGGAGAAAACAGGACCATTTACATGAACTAATAAAAGTAACTCATAATTTACATAATCTACATGAGCTTGGAAATGATCATAATGTTTTTGCTCAACATTTGAAAATGTTCAGCTTTACGCCTATTGTTGAAGCTACAAATAACTTTTCTGCACAAATAAACTTGGACAAGGTGGTTTCGGCTTGGGCTTCACAAATACTAAATTGGACCAGGTTAGAGCCAAACTCAAGGTCTAGTCTAATTTTAGAATGGGCTAGATATGGTAGTTTATAGTCTGTCCAACTCGACATGAAACCTAACAATAGACTAGACCAAACCAAGTTCTTTCAGTTATTAGACTAGTCCCACAAACCATACCTTTTTAAAAAAGTAAAATCCAAACAATAGTTTCTAATCACATGCTTAAGAGAAAATGAACAGGTGCATAGCAACACATCAATTATCACAAATTTATAATAAAAATATTACAAATATAAATCAAATAACCAAACTCCTCGAACATATCACTCTTAGATCATGTAGAAAAAGAGAAATTTCTTTCAGAGGTTTCACTTAAACATCTCTACCCACCACCAACAATACAGCAATTGAGAAAAAAGAAGTAGAAGCATAGATCAAGTGACGAGGATGATCAAGAAGTCAACCATGAAGACATAACAAAGGCAAATTGACTTGGTTTCTCTTTGTTCTTGTCAGTGAGATGCCTCAGCCATGATACTCATAGCAAAGCCACAGCACATGAATTTAGTTCGTTTGCTTGGATGCTGCATACAACCTGAGGAGATGATGTTGGTTTACAAAAACATGCCTAACAAAAGTTTGGACTCATTTCTTTTTAGTTAGTAATCATGCGCAAAGACCTAAACTCTAGTCGTTAATTGATACCATGTAAGTTATTTAATTACATATATGTTCCCGCCCCTCAAATTTGGCAATGCAAAAAGTCATCATTTCAATATGGCACAATCTATTCAATAACAACGATATGTTATGACGTGAAACTTGCCTTTAAATTGCTTGTTTTGCAATAAAATTCTGCACACTAAAACTTTTTTGTGGTTTGTGATGTTTTGAAGATGCATGGAAGATGAGCATGTTAAATTGGCGAATGAGAGTGATGATTATTGAAACAATTTTATAGGGACTTCTTACCTTCATCAGCATTCAAGATTAAGAATTATACACACAGGGATCCAAAATCCAGTAACATATTACTCAATGCTGACATATGAATTCTAAAATTTCTAACTTTGAAATGGCAAGAATTTTTAAGCAAAATAACTTATTGCCAACACAAACAGAATTGTTCAAACATAGCATGTCTATAAAATTATTTAAAAATATGTGATTGATTACTGTTTTAAGCCAAATGGTATGTTTTCATTTTTAACCAACTGGCTCTTACTCGTTTTCTTTTATCAGTGGATACATGTTTTTTAAGTATGCAATGAATGGAATATTCTTTAAAAAAATAAGTTATTTTCAATTTTGAAGTCATAATCCTTGAAATTTTAAGTGGCAATAACTAGGAATAACAGCTTTTATGATATCAATAAACCTCTAAACCTAGTAAAATATATAAGTGTTTTTGTTTAAAATTTTTCTTAAGTATGCTAGTAACTAAAATAAATATAAGGACTATATATAATTTGAAAATTAGTATTGCAGGCTTGGGATTTGTGGCGAAATGGAGTTGGCCTTTGCCTAATGGACCTATGTTACCTTATTCATGTTCCAATCAATAATTTCTTAAATTTATTCAAATAGGTCTTTTGTGTGTAGAAGAATATCCAGCAGATAAAACAACTACTCTAAAAATTATTTCTATGATCACAAATGAAAGCACCATTTTGCCTGTGGTAAAGAAACCTGCATTTACAAAAAGACAATGTTACTAATACAAACAGTCAAAT